TAATGCCAATTTGAGCGGAAATCTATCCGATTTTCCCTTACGTAAAAATTCGGTAAATTTTGAATAAATTTGTTTTTTTTATAAAAATTTAAACTATAGTAAATAGATTTTTCATGTTAGGAGACATTACTTATAAAAAGAAAAATGATCAAAAAAAAAAAAAAATCTCTAAGACTTATTATAAATGATATATTCGCAATCTTTAAGTGCAAAAAGAAATAAAAAAAATAAAAAGAGAATCATTATTGTTAAAATTTTAGCCGGAATAAACTGGGAAAAAAAAAATATATATACATATATATATATATATATATAGGCTCAAGGTAACACTGAATAACCCTCTCTTCTCCTGTAAAATGTGTTTACACTTTACATCAATCATGATTTATGATTAGTTACAAGATTTACTCCTTGAAAGTAAATATATATATATATATATATATGTATACATACACACAAACACACCCGTCAAATTGAGAGGTAAAATTGGTGTCATTGTTAAGTGATACACTAAATAAGAGAAAATTAAACTATTTTAGCGATCAAAGGGAAAGAGTTAAAAGAGAAGAACGAATTATGCAAAAATAATGGATCGTTGTGCAGTTGTTTACCAAAGTTTTTGAGGGCGAAAAGTGGTGGATCCATATGTTGATTGAAGCATCTGAACGAACAACGGAAGTTGCAGCAATGCAAACATTGAAACTGGGAAAGACGCTAGCAAAGCAATGGGAATTGAGATCCATTTTAGTCTCTCACTAAGTACTATCGACAGAGTTGCACAGAAAGCGACCATCATTGCAGCTATGGCAAAAAAGAGTGAGGCAAAACCAATTATCAACCTCTTCGGCAGTGACCTCAAGAAATCTTCCTCCGCGTAACGAGCAGTTAGGATAGACAAGAACATCAACAAAGATGTGGTAGAAAAAAACAAAGCCCCTGAATTAGACACCACAAACACCATAAATGAGTTTGTCCAAAGAAAAAATGGAATCCCCGTATCCTCTTTGTTGCCGCCCGGAACAGTAAAAGCAGCAGCAAAAGCAACTGTAGCAATGAGAGTTGCAACAACCATGCAAGAATTTGATGTTCCTTTCATCCATTCCTCTCCTTTCTTTACTAGCTCCTTGTGTTCTTCGGTGAATACTTCCCATGCGGTTCTCTTCTCGTGGTTTTGAGCGTTCCTGTTAAGCATGGGAGGCATTAATTTCTCCACTTCCTATATATAAAACATATCCCACAGCATTGTCAATATAGGTTCAACTTACAATTTAGTAGGCAACTCTAATAACAAAAATTATTGGGTGCTGCAGATAAGTTGACAAATATGTAAATTTGATAGTAAGGAAACAATAAAATATCGCAG